TCTTGTTTTCATTTCTCCTTACAGGAAGAGGCAGAAATAGAGACTCAGAAAATTATGGCTGAATTTAATCAACTGCATATATTTTTGGAAGAACAGGAGTGCCTTGTGCTGACTAAACGGAAGAATCTGAGTGATGAAATTAAACACATGAGAAATAAAAACATAGAGAAACTCTCTAAGGAAATTTCCTCTATGGACGATCTTATCAAGGAAATGGAAGAGAAACATAATCAACCAACAAGTGAATTCCTGCAGGTTAGTTTTATCAGGAAAAAAGGAAAATGGGGCTGTCTTTAATGTAACAGCCTAAAAAAAAGGAATTTTAAATTTCTGAAAAACTGCTATTGCTTATATTATGCTGCTATATTTCAGTCAATTAGTTGTACAGTCTGTATAGTGGGACTAAAGGCTCTGATTTTTAGAGTTCTAATACTTCTGTTCTGGTACATGCTAAGTTCTGGTATTTCAAAAATCCTAACTGGTCTGATATGGTGATTATTATTCTCTGTGGGTTTTTATTAAATAAATAATCTAAAACTCTCAGGTTTGTGAAAGTGGGAGGATAGCTATCAATTTTTTTCTCTAGAAAAAATTTAAAGAAAACTTTGCTTGTTTTTTGAAGGGGCAAAGCACAGACGAATGAAAACAGAGCTGGCCAAAGGTGATTGTGGGGGCTTCTGAACAGATTCTTTATTTATTTATTCATTTATTCATTCATTCTATTTGTACCCCGCCTATCTGGTCAATACGACCACTCTTCTAGTCCAGTGGTTCTCAACCTTGGGTCCCCAGATGTTCTTAGATTAAAACTCCCAGAAGCCTTCACCACCAGCTATGCTGGCCAGGAATTCTGTGAGTTGCGGTTCAATAGTATCTGGGGACCCAAGACTGAGAACCACTGCTCTAGATCAAGAGTGAAGAAATACAGATCTTTGGTGTTGAAATTGAGCTTCCTAAGACAGACTTTTAAATTTTATTTTATTTTGTTTAACGTATGTACCAGCCATGTAGCGGGAGGCTACTCTGGGTGGTTTACAACATGATCAAAACAATAAAGCATCACTATAAATATGAAAGTAAATTCAACTTAATAAATCAGTGATGGGCACAAATTGATTTGGCCCACTCTGTCAACATTAGTATGCATGGGACCATAGGTGTAGCACATTCCCTCACCCCTCACCCCAGCTGACCCATTCACAATCTACTGTGTGCTGCCCGGGTCCTCCTCCCCAGGCAGCTGTCCACGCCAGCCAGGAACTTGAGCTTCCATTCCTTACCTCCTCCAGCAGCCAACCATTCAGACAAGGAGGTGGGACAGGGATTCTCACTGTGTAGCTGTTGAGTGGTCGGCAGCTGGACTAGGCAGAGAAGGGAAGCCTGAGCTCCTGGCCAGACTGGACAGCTGCCTGGGGAGGAAGACCCAAGCAGTAGGTGGCAGATTGTGAGTGGGCCAGCCAGCCGGTGGGTGAGGTAAGGGAATGTGAAGCACCTGTGATGTTGCTTATATGAATTTTGACAAAGTGAGCCGAATCAATTTGTACCCATTTCTATAATAAACATAATAAAGTATCAACTGCTAAACAATTATATATTTACACATTAAACATTTAAAGTGACAGTGCGATAGTCTTAATAATCGATGGCTTCCTCAGGATTGATGGAACAGAGTGGAATTCCTGTCTGAACAGCCAAGTTTAAAAAAAAAATTTTTTAAAGTTACCAGCTGGGAGGCTGGGTGGATAGTCAGGGTATTGGGCTCCAGAGTTGGGGGGTGACTGCCGAGAAGGCCCAATTCCTGGTCTTCTCCCTCTGGGCCTCTCTCACAGTCAACACGCTCAGTTATCTGGCCTGGAATGAATGAGTAGGGTGGGCAGTTCTTGATAGAAAAAGGTGTTCTGACAAGTCCTGAGGTCTCAAATCATTTTGGGCTTTATATGTCAGAACCATCACCTTGAAGGGGGCATGGAATCGTACAGATAACCAGTGTAAGGTGGCCAGGGTTGGGGATATGTGTTGGTATTTACTAACTCCACCCACTAGCCTGGCTGCCATGTTCTAAGTTGCTGAAGCTTCAGAGTGGGCCCCACATAGAGAGCATTACAGTAGTCTATTCTTGAGAGCATGGACCAACGTGGTGACTGACTGGGTGTCTAGGTGGAGATGCAGTTGTACGATCTGTCAAACGTGAAAATAAGTGGATGGGACCACAGACACTATAGGGTTGTCTATTGACACAGCACAGGGTCTAAAAGAATGCTCAACCTGTGCACCTCATCCTTGGAAGATAGAGTAACCCCACCAAAGGAGAGGGAACCAATCAATCCACAGACACCAGGGGCACCCACCCAGGGGACCCCTATCTTGTCCAGGTTCAGCCTCGGTCTGTTGTCCCTCATCCATCTTAGCACAGCAGCCAGATGTGAACTGAGCTTCTGCCCAGGTGCAACAGGCCCATTATTACACTGGTTAATTCTCATGGGCAAAGTTTCTTTTCACTGTGATATGATGAGGGTTTCAAAATTTCTAGTATCAAACTAGTGCTTCTGATTTTGGAGACTTTTTGAGCATCTCTTTAAAAGGTCTAACATGGAAAAAATGTAGCAACTCTTACTGGCTACATGGGCTGGTAAAATTAGTAGCACTGGATGGGTTGCTGGTGTATTTGTGACCAATCAGCCTGTTCTTTTGTCTTTGCCTTGTGAGTATACTTGACTTTACAAAGGGAAGATGCTGCATGCTTTACACACAGAGAGAAGTCTTGCACATATATTTTGCACAAATTGCAGAAACCACAATGAAAAATAACAGTCGGCTTCTTGGTCTATGCCAGTGATGGTGAACCTTTTTGAGCCCAAGTGCCCAAACTGCAACACAAAATCAACTTACTGTATTTATTTCAAAGTGCCAATACTGCAATTAAAACCTGAATACTCAGGTTTTATTTTAGAAAAAACAACTGCTCCTGCACTGCAAGCGTTAAATGCTTGTTTGTTTGTTTGCTATGAGCAGTATTAACAAATAAATACTTACTGGTCCTCCAATCTGCCATTGGGCTAGACCGGTAATGGTCGCCATTGCACCCCTCCGCTGGACCACTGCACCAGCAGAGGGGAGTGCTGAAATTTGGGATTGGAGGATGGGTACGTATTTCTCTATGGCGGCTTATGGCTTGTGTGCCCACAGAGAGAGCTCTGTGTGCCAACTGTGGCACACATGCCATAGGTTCGCCATCACTGGTCTAAGCTGTCGGCAAGATCTCTCAAAGGGTGGTGGAGAATCCTGGAGATGCTGTTGTGATAACCCAAAATGGTTAGTTTCATCTAGAGATTTCAGCTTTAAGGACTTCTTGTGATTGTGACTGAATTTATCTCTTTTTTTCCTTCCCCAATCCCCTTTTCCTTCCAGGACATAAACAGTTACATGAAAATATAAGTAGTTGTTATGCTGATAAATTACTTGGCCCTCTAGTCAGAACTTAGAATATCATTTTAGTTGAGAGATACTGTTCTTCCACCCTCTTCAGGTCAAAATAGGTTATCCATTCAGTTCTTTATTGGAACGGGATCTCTTTCACATAATTGAAGGCTTCTGTTTATCATAGGACAGGATTATTCTCGCCTACAGCGGCTGCCGTTCACGGCGCCATCTTGATATTGCTGATCTTACACGGAACATGTTTTGTTCTGAAGCTGTTATCTGGACAGAGCAGGAACTTGAAATTCTGATTTTTGAAGTGCATAGTCTAAACCCAATTGCTAGTTCCAACTCTACATAAATATATTCATGTTATAAAAATACATTTCCTAGGTTTCCTGGTGTTACTTATGTTCTATAAATTAGGTGTTTATTTCTTTGGTTTATGATTGCCTTTTAGCTTCAAATGAGGAAGAAGCCAGTTCACAAAGAGACCCCCAAGTTGTATTAAAACATAACTAAACAATTGACTAAATGAACTAAGCTAATTAACTAAACTAAGTGTGAAGGAACCAGCAAAAAGGGGGCTAACCATTCCCTTAACTTTTCTTAAAATCTGAATTTAAACTCAGTTGAGCTGACTAAGAAAGCATGCCTGTGCAATCAGGAAGACACCACATCTGAGTGTTATTTTTAACCTTGAAATTTAGGAGTATCCTTTGAGAAGCTGAAACTGTCTCTGTTCTCATTATTAGATGAGATTAGATGTAGCTGGTGAGATCATGCTTTACTCTCACAGAAGTTATCAATTAATAAGCTTCAGCAAGGATTCTAATTGGTGGAGAGAACTGAGCCAGCTCAAGAGGGGATGCTATGATAGAAGGTCAGCTAGTACAGTGGTTCAGCTAACCCTAGGTTCCCAACCTTTGTTACTCGGATGTTTTTGAACTGCAACTCCCAGAAACCCCAGCCAGCACAGTTGGTGGTGAAGGCTCCTGGGAGTTGTAGTCCACAACTCCTGAGTAAGCCAAGGTTGAGAACCAGTGAGCTAAACCACTGGTTCTTAACCTTGGGTTATTCAGGAGTTTTGGACTGCAACTCCCAGAAGCCTTCACCACCAGCTGTACTGACTGGGGTTTCTGGGAGTTGCAGTTCAAAAGCATCTGAGTAACAAAAGTTAAGAACTACTGAGCTAAACTGCTCTTAGTAGCAGCTGTGAGTTCTTTCATGCTTGTTTGCTTCATCATGTAATCCAGCCTGCTCTTATGCTGTACTCTGTCTTGGAACCATGCTACTCTTTAAGTATAGTTTTAGCATTGCTAGATAGCTTTTCTTATTTTATGTGGGACTAGCTCCTGACTGCCTAAATTTTGACCTGCTTTTCTTCCCCAGCATTATAGAACTGCCTCACATTATCATCACCATTCTGTTAGAACCCTTAAGTGTACTGTTCGATTTATATGCTTTGCTAAGATGTCTTTAATAACAACAAAATTCTCCCAGCTGTTTCCCCCCCATTCAAACAGCTTGAAGGGTTGTTGGTATTAAGACCAGTCGACTTTTGAACATTTTTGTGGGTTTTATGTTCGCTACCTTGCAAGGTTGGTTTACAACCAGGAGCAACCACCTGCTTGTTTTAGTCTCCCTGGAGCACCAAGGAGTAAGTGGCTCAAAGGTGACGGGAGAAGGAGCTCATACGAAGCTTTCCCAGTAGCACACTGACCCAGACCAGGTGAAACGAGGGTGGAATGGCTCAGTGGTCCATGGATCCTGACTGTGGTAGCCTGGCACTCTTTATAGTAAAGGTAAAGGTTCCCCTTGACATTTAGTCCAGTCGTGTCCAGCTCTAGGGCACGGTGCTCATCCCCATTTCCAAGCTGTAGAGCCAGCGTTTGTCCATAGGTAGTTTCTGTGGTCACGTGGCCAGCACGACTAGACACGGAATGACGTTACCTTCCCACCAAGGTGGTACCTCTTTCTCTACTTGCATTTGCATGCTTTCGAACCGCTAGGTTGGCGGGAGCTGGGACAAGCGATGGGAGCTAATTCCATCGCATGGATTTGATCTTACAACTGCTGGTCTTCTAACCCTGTGGCACACAAAGGCTTCTGCGGTTTACCCCACAGTGCCACCACATCCCTGGCACTCTTTATACTAAGAAATTATATTAAAAAAGAACTGAATTAATATCAGGGTGCAAACCCATCCGTAGAAGAGTACAAAATCCTGTTGAGAGGTCCTTTGCTGGTTAGTTGCTAGAAGCCTGCCTGACTACAAAGGTTTTTGGGGAAGAGAAAAGGAGGGTGCCAGCTGCTTCCCTTGGACAAGAGTTCTGTGGCCTGAGAGGAGGTCCCAAGAAGGCCCTTCCCCAGGTTGCCACCAAAGGCGCCTCTGCGGATTCCAACAGCAAGAGAAGAAGCCCTTGCCGAGACACCTCAAAGCCTGGCCAGACTCCTATGGCAGCATAACATCCTTCAAATAATCTGAGCCAAGTCTGCTGCCAAGGGCTTAAGGGGCAAGAGTCTGTCCTTAACATTGTACAGCTGGCTGGATAGTTTAGGCATCTAGCTGTGGAGCCCGAGGTTGGGAGTTCGATCCCTCACTGTGCCTCTTCCTGGGAGAAGAGCCAGCCTGTGTGGCCTTGGGCAAGCTGCACCGCCCTGAAAAAGAGAATGAATGGTAAACGGGTATTCTCTACTTAGAAAATCCTGAAAAGGGTTGCCATAAATCAGAACTGACTTGCTGGCATGAAATTATTATTATTTATTAACGATGCTCCCAGAAGGAGGTTGTTACCAGTGAACTGGCCATAAAAATGCTCTCTTTTACCTGGCCTTAATCAATATTTTGATTGCAGCGTTTTTGATGAGCTGGCTTTTCCAAAAATAATTTTTTGAAGGTATTCTCCCATAGAGTACTTTACATTAATCCAAATGGGATGGAACTACTGTAAAGTGATGTGTCAACATGGTCAGATTTGACATCTCATGGACCCATGCACACACATTAACTTTAAGGGTCCAAATGCATTACTGAACCCTGCAGAAACCTAGGCTTTCAAGTTCAGGTTGATTCCAGGGGCACAACCCAATTGTGCACTGAGTTTTTAGGGGGCAGTACAACACACAAGGGACGTGGTGGCGCTGCGGGTTAAACCGCAGAAGCCTCTGTGCTGCAAGGTCAGAAGACCAAGCAGTCGTAAGATCGAATCCATGTGAGGGAGTGAGCTCCCGTCGCTTGTCCCAGCTCCTGCCAACCTAGCATTTTGAAAGCATGTAAAAATGCAAGTAGACAAATAGGTACCACCTTGGTGGGAAGGTCACGGCATTCCGTGTCTAGTCGCACTAGCCACGTGACCACAAAAACTATCTTCAGACAAAAACGCTCACTCTGTGGCTTAGAAAGGGAGATGAGCACCGCACCCTAGAGTCGGACACAACTGGACTCAATGTCAAGGGCAACCTTTACCTTACAACACACGCTGAATCCCCAGTCCTTGATCTGTCAAATGACAGGGACCACCTCAGTCTTATTGGGATTAAGTTTCAGTTCCTTTGACCTAATCTAACCCATAACTGACAATCAGAAACATGGTTTGAAATAAAATATGGTTCCTGCTTGAAATAACCAGTCTAAACACTAAACTGACCGACGGATTCTCCTTTGACGTGTATATAGCCTTCAGCTCTTGGTCTTCACTTTCTCTTTCAAGTTTGCTACTGAACTAACAAAAATGAAAATGCTTAGATCGTAGGTGACTTCCAGTTGCTTCTCCCTAGGTGTAACAATCAGAAATGTGTGATGCCTCAAATGTTTTTCTTCTATCAACAAAAGAAATATAGAGCCTCGTGGCACAGTGGTTAAAACGCTGTACTTCAGCTAAAACTGTGCCCACGACCTGGGGTTCAAATCCCAGGTAGCCGGCTCAAAGTTGACTCAGCCTTCTATCCTTCCGAGGTCGGTAAAATGAGTACCCAGCTTGCTGGGGGGGGGGGAATGTGTAGCCTGCATAATTAAATTGTAAACCGCCCAGAGAGTGCTTGTAGCGCTATGGGGCGGTATATAAGTCCAAAAAAAATATATGTTGGAGACTTCTCCACAATCCATTCTTTCCTTGAGAAAACCATTAAGGAATTCAATGAAAAATCACTGTCTGATGCCTAAATCCAATGGTTAATCCTAGTTAATGCAGACATATAGTATCAATGGTAAGTCAGGAGTTAAGAAGGTTACACTGATGTAATGTGACTATTCAAATTTGGATTAATATTTGGCTTTAGGATATCTGAGTTTTTCAAAGCACAATCTGACTTGCTGACAAAATGACTTGTTAAAATTTTGGTAATATTTTTATAAAATTGTATAGCAGAGAAAATTAGCATTCATTTTTGCAGCCAATGATTTTAAAAAATCTGACAAAGTAGCAATAGGTGCATACATACATGCCTACCCTTATCCTAGCAATATGCTGTGTTAGTTTCACAGTCCGGTCTCCTATTCAGAGTCAAGCTTGGTTTTTATAGGATGTTCATAAGCAGTTCAAAAAGGCAACATTCCTTCTGAATTATTGCTCCTGACCCATGCATTCTGTGCATGGTGTTCTGTACCCACGTAGCCAATTAAAATCTTGAAAAAAGTGAGCAGTTCAATATTAAAAGGAAAAATAATGCAAGTTTGTTAAAACTGTTCTCCTATAAAGTTTGGAGCGTTATTCTGTCATAGGTATTTATGTTGCAAAGAAAACATAAGAAAGCACAGATGTGATTACCAAATTTCATGCCTAGATTTGGGCGTGAAATTTGTAACACATCTGCCTAAGATAGCCAGCCCCATAGCACCATGGTTAAACTGCAGTCAATCCTGTGCTCATGACCTGAGTTTGATCCTCAAAGGCTCAGGTAGCTGGCTCAGGGTTGACTCATCCTTCCATCCACCCAAGGTTGGTAAAATGAGTACCCAGATCACTGGGATGGGGTGGGGAGGAGAGTTATTGTTTGCATAATTATTTAGTAAACCATACTGCTGTAGCAGTATGGGGCAGCATATAAGTTTAAACTGTATACAGTGGTGCCTCGCTTAACGAGTGCACCGTATAACGACAAATCTGCATAGTGATCCCGTTTTCGGGTCGGCTCCAATGGGCAAAACTCGCATAGCGAAGATCGGTAAGCGTTTCGCTTACCGATCTTCGCTTTGTGACGCCGCGGATCAGCTGTTTGGCGGTTCCAAAATGGCCGCCGGAAGCCCCGAAATGGCTGCGCGCAGCATTTTCGCGCCCTCCCCTCGCTTACCGAGGGCGCGAAAATGGCTGCCGGACCCTGGAAACTTCGCTAAACGGGGCACCACTGTATACAGTTTACAACAATTATAGGCAGATGGAGATACTGTATAAAGAGCATCAAACATTATGTAAGGAGTCTGTTAAGTGTCAGTTTCTTTTTTTTCCTCCCCAGAAACTATGCTGTCTGGACTTCAAGAAAATAAAGGTAATGTATTCCCCCCCCCATTAAAAATAAGACAGAGAAGATAAGGTAATTAAGAAAGGTTGTGAAGACCTTTATTTAAGTCATTGTTTAATGAATCTGATCACTGAATCTCTCTCTTGCTTTTCTCATCTGCACAGCAAGATTAGACCAGTTTGAAACGGCATTTTATATAGCATGCACAATTTTTTAAAATGAAACTATGTCCTCTTCCACTTTTCTGCTACGCTAAAAATTTGGAAGTGTCACCTTGACTGGAACATCTGCTAGCCATGGACTGGGAGGAGATGGGAACTTCCCAGTGCACTCACGGGGAAGAGGTCAGAGGATTTGTAACATACTTTGTGCAAATTTGTGTTTTTGGACTTTGGCTCTGAGAATTCGCCAAGCAGCATGCCCCAGAATTCTCCAAGAATGCCCCAGGTAATGTTCTGGGAGTTGCAGACCAAACCCACAAATCTGCACACGTCTGTTGCCAAATCCTTCCCTCCTAACTCCACCTCCTGTCAGCAATGACAGGCGGTGTGGAGATACTAGATGGTGTCGAACAATGAGTTGGCAAAATGAGAGGAAAACAGAGCAACACAAAACTCCACCAGGCCATTCTGGGAAAACAAGGGAGATTTGCAAGGTGGAGCAGGGAAGAGAGGAAAAGCTCAAGGGGCTGCTGGCAGGACCTTCCTCCCCATGCGTTAGTTCAGCGTGCAGTTTGAATGTAAAGCTTTGGAGCTGCCTTCCCTATTGGAATTACCTTAAGAAGAAGAATAGCCGGAGAGAGCTTCATGTTGGTCTGTTTTTCTCTCATTTTGCAGACCCAGTTCAGCAAACTGACTTACAGTCACCACTGTGACTGCCAAAGGGGGAAATCGGGGCCAACAAGGATAGGATGATCCTTGAGTAAAGCTCTATGCCTCCGTGCGGGAGGTGGTCCACGACCAGCTTTTATGGCCACAGGAGAGTGGAAGGTGCATGTCACTGTGGACCTGTGGAGTGGAGGTCACCATGGGTAACTCTCACTTATGCCCCCCCCCCCGAGGGCAGATGGAAAACCAGAGGTGTGGCAGGGTCGCAAGAAGAAGCCCTTGTCCTGCCGCAGGCTACAGGTCCGTTCTGCTGTAGGCATGACACCTACGAAGCCATTGGCCTGTGGAGCCATATCGAGCCCAATTGGGATGTAGCCATCCAGGAGATGCGGGCAGTCCTGGAGCAATGCCACCAACAGGTGGACCATTTATCACCTAGCCTGAAAGCGGCCCACGAGAATGGCGTTCTCCACTGATGTCCGCAGGGTGTTGGGAGCATGACGATGGGGGGGAGGGAGCCAGAGATGTCAGGGGACAAGTCAGAAGAGGGGGAGGGTGGCTCACAGGAGCCCCAGGCAAGAATTTCTGGTGGCAAGATCTCCAGCCCTCATGACTGGAGCTCAGTGGTGAGTTGAGTGGCTGCCATGGAGGGCAGACAGGCGGCAGATGAGGAGTACCTGATGGATGCCCATAGATCAGATCCCCTCCAAAATCCAAACTTTCATAGGCTGTAGATGATGATCAGGGGAAGCTTCCCTGCGATTTTGGTGTCTTTGGGTACGGCAGATGAGGAGTACCTGATGGATGCCCCATAGATCAGATCCCCTCCAAAATCCCCTCCATAGGTTGTAGATGATGATCAGCGGAAACTTCCCTGCGATTTTGGTGTCTCTGGGTGCCTGGGGGGCTGTTTTATAGCATTATACTGTAAAGTCAAATCAACATTGATTCATCAGAAAAGATTTTTAAATGTGTGATTTCTTGACCTTGATGAATTACAAATTGGGACAAATCACCAATTGTGCCCTTTTGTACTCTGAATATGTATTTGTTAGAAAAACAAAATGCAGCCTCACATGCTTCTCTCATAACACTACCATGTTTCCCCGAAAATAAGACAGGGTCTTATATTAATTTTTGCTCCAAAAAACGCACCAGGGCTTATTTTCAGTGGATGTTTTATTTTACAGCCATGTCATCTTCAGATTGCTGCACAATGGTGGAAGGCGGGGTTTCACTTAACTAGGGCTTATTTAGGGGGTAGGGCTTATATTACGAGCATCCTGAAAAACCATACTAGGGCTTATTTTCAGGTTAGGTCGTATTTTCAGGGAAACAGGGTATGTGTTGCTGGAGGACACACCTTGTTTATGTTTAGGCCCCAGGTACTCACTGCTACTAGAGTTATTTCCCCATGTCTTAGAGTCCTTTCCTTCCTGTTGTGCTTGCCTTAGCCACCTTGTCTCTCTTCTTTCTTTCTTCTCCAGTTTATGACTTTCAAAGGGTCATAAGGCATGAGGACTTTCAATCTGCAGCAGCTGCCAGAGCTCCAAGAGCCAAGGAGTCCACGAAGAACTGTGAGACTCAGTAGATCCTCCTTCCTGTTATTCTGTGATCAGCCCTTGCAAGCGGACTGTGTGTGGTGGTGCTTCATCATGCAAGAATCGGGTTGTCTGATCCATGGACCTAATGCGCCGAGGATCTTCAACTGTAGCAAATAAAGTGGTGATCATTCTTGCACATTCCAGAGAGGATGACCTTGCACCTTCCATATACTTGACAAAGACACAAAAGAGGATACAAACCAGTCTGTCTCTTGCCACATCTCTTGGATTATAAAACAGGCCAAAATTGGGGGAGGGGGGAATCCCACCTAAATACTTCTTAAGTGTCTCAGGGTTCAGTCTGGGACAGTAGAGACATGCCTACTCGGAAGGAATGTATGCTTCAGGAAACTGGACATCATGAAGCCTAAGTAGCAGGGCTCCATTGACTTTTTTCATCTTATTCAGCATTTAAGATTAGTTCAGTACAGTTTAGAACGCAGTAGCAAAGCAGCTTTGGCTTAAACACCCACAAAAAAGGAGCCAAACGTAAGACAGATAAAGCATAACTACAACTGAAATAAAATAATATAATTAATTAATTAATGACATACGGTAGATATTGGCTAAAATAATATAATTAATTAATTAATGACATACTGGTGAATTATTATTCTGAAGGCAAATATCTCCAGGATGGAATAAAGATTTCAATTGCCATATCTGACAAGCCTGAATACAGTACAGTAACAAGTACCTGCACCCACAGGTGCGTTTTCTTTAAGGGGGAGCTTTCCTTAATACTGATACGGATTGAACTCTTATACTGGAATTGGTGTCCTGTGGAACGATGACATTCAAAACATAACAATTTAAAAAAAGCCCGGTACCTGTTTCCCACCACTCAAGGAATTCATGTGCCACACAGAATGGAGACCATTTTGATGGACACCCAAAAGAAGGCCTGTTCTGCCTTAGCATCCCGATTGTGGAATGCCCTCCCCTCGGAGGTTCATTTGGAACCCACTCTGTGCCAAGTCAAAACGTATTTATTAGAGCTTGAGCATCACAGCCTGTGCAGGTTTGAATGCAATGGTTTAATGTTTGAATGTGTTGATTTTGTTTTTCAAACTTTGGTCTTAAGTTGTTTTGATTTTTTTAAATACAGCTCCGCAGCACACACTGATATAGCGTAGTCTAAGAAGGTTTTAAATACAGTTCAATAAAATAAGACATCTCTCCAGTTCTCAGGGTCTCTGTAAGCTATCCTGATTGTAATATCAATGTATTGCCAACAAGGGTCTCTGTAAGCTATCCTGATTGTAATCTGATATCAATGTATTGCCAACAAGACCCGTTATTTTGTCTGCAGTATCCTTCCCTCATTACATCGTGAAATAATGATCATCCTTCCTCCACTTTACTTCATTTTCTCCTCCCGACCCCTCACTTTTTACAAGTTGCCTGATGAAGACAGGATTCTCGTGAAAGCTTGTGCATTTGTGAATGAATCGGAACAGATCTTTCTGCCCTTTCTGGTAAGCCCAAAGGTATCACCTGTACAGAAGGTTTGTACTGTAATTTATTGGGGATTGACACAGCTATTCCAGCTTCTGTATGATGTACCTGGAGTCAGTTCTGCATTCAATCCGCCTCAACCTCTCACTCTTTCCCGGAACCTATTTTCCATGGTTAAAATTTTAACTACAGATTCTAGGGAAGCAAAAGAGGCGACTGAAAGGAGCTAAGGGAACGGGAACACAATACGTCTGCTCTTCAGTTTAGGGTTAGGCAGTCTGCAGTATCCTTCCCTCATTACATCGTGAAATAATGTGCAGGCAAAAAAAGGACTTCAGATCATCCTTCCTCCACTTTACTTCATTTTCTTCTCCCAACACCACTCACTTTTCACAAGTTGCCTGATGAAGAAAGGATTCTCATGAAAGCTTGTGCATTTGTGAATGCATCGGAATACATCTTTCTACCTTTCTGGTTAGCCCAAAAGGTATCACCTGTACAGAAAGTTTGTACTGTAATTTATTGGGGACCGACACAGCTATTCCAGCTTCTGTATGATGTACCTGGAGTCAGTTCTGCATTCAATCCGCCTCAACCTCTCACTCTTTCCCGGAACCTATTTTCCATGGTTAAAATTTTAACTACAGATTCTAGGGAAGCAAAAGAGGCGACTGAAAGGAGCTAAGGGAACGGGAACACAATACGTCTGCTCTTCAGTTTAGGGTTAGGCATCCTTCAGTCTCAAGAGACTATGGTAACGTGCTCTGTATGGAGGACTTGGAACAGCGTCTAGTGTGGCTGAGAAGGCCAATTCGAGAGTGACAATCCCTTCCACACTGAGGACAAATCCGATCTATTCACTGTCCAGCTCCCTCAGTTTACACACACTAAATGGAAGGAAGCTCAGATTGCATTTGGGCTGCCAGGAAAAGCAGGCGCAGAGCGAGAAGGGCAGCAACAGGAAGCCAAATAGGAGAGAGAGAGAGAGAGATCTTTTTTGACAAGTTCAAAGGCAAATGGGTAGGAAGATGATTCCTTGATATATGGCAGGACATTTGGCTACCAGAAGCAGCTGTGTGGACTAACTGGCACATTTTTTTTTAATTATGGTTATAGAAAGAGGAATAATGAAAACAGAAGTGTGCTTACATACAGTTCTTGCACATCAAGAGCACCTGGCATTTGTACACATGACTTAACAGTTTGCATACTTATTATTCTCTGCTTTAGATTTACTTGGCCTTTTGAAATTCTTTCTTCTGATACATTTCCTTTTTTATATAACTTTATAAAATAGGAGGTGAACTGTTAAGAAAGAAAGAAATTGGCATATATTCTATCCAGATAACAAAGGGGTATAGGTTAAGAGTTCAGGAACCTCTAGGA